TGTGTGTGTGTGTCTCTCTGTGTGTCTGTGTGTGTGTGTGTGTGTGAGAGTACGGTACCCAATACTTCACATTTTGGCAAATGCATGCAAGTCTGTGTGATTAGAAACAAATCCTGCCTTATTTACCTTTAAATGCAGCTTGAGTGGCTCCTGTTGATTGATGGGTGTGTGTTTGTGTGTGTGCTGAAGGCGACTCTTTCCTTCCTGCTGGATCATCTGAGTCTGGTGGCGTCTTACAGCGACAGCAACCGCATGACGTGTCAGAATCTGGCCGTGTGTTTCGGGCCGGTCCTCCTGACGCCCACACAGGAGTCGTGGCAGGCCGGGATGACGGCTCCCGGATCAGGGGCCCTGGCGGGGTCCGGGGCCGGTCGAGGAGGCCGTAGCTTTGCACACAGTGAAGAGATCGCCAGCGCCGTGGACTTTAAACGACACATAGAGGCGCTGCACTATCTCCTGCAGCTCTGGCCTGGTGAGTCTGTGACCCAAAACAGCATTTACTTGCTTTCTTCATATAATAAAACAGTCTAATATTTCATTAATAAAACATAATATTATAAACAATTAATAAATGTGTTATTTAAAATAAATGTATTTATTAATAAAAAAAATTGTCTATAATAAAAAGAAAATAATTGTAAAAAAAAAAAAAAAGTGTGTGTGTGTGTGTGTGTGTGTGTATATATATTATATATATATTAGGGGTGTGCGGTATGTGACCCTGGAGCACAAAACCAGTGATAAGGGTCAATTTTATGAAATTGAGATTTATAGATAATCTGAAAGCTGAATAAATAAGCTTCCATTGCTGTATGGTTTGTTAGGATAGCACAATATTTGTGTATTTGGCGTTTTTCTCCAAAATTACCATGATTACAAATGTGATATAGATTTTTTTTTAACAACAGTTCAATAAACAAGAAGTCCCGATCTGAATCAAATGATTTGCGGTACACGATCCAATTGCAGCGTTTCGAAACAGTGAATCGTTTTGTGACGCAATGGTTCAAAACTGATTCTGAGTTTCAAAAAGCTCCGTCGATGCTGTGTTCTTTGCTCACTTTCTCTAAATAATCTGTTCGTTGTTTGAATAACTGTGGAAATTAAATCATTACAATTAATACGCCTAACTTACAATGTTTTTATTCAATTGTGATCACGTTAAATACAGTTTTCTGTCGTGTTAAAGACATGTCACCTATTATCTACTTGCCTAAAAAGACGGGTAGATGGGTCAGCCTCCGCCTATGGAGATTTATACGCCTATAAAACGTTTTCAAAAGCATCCCCCCCTCTGGTTTTTTCACAAATCGTACAAATATACTGTATATATACACTACCGGACAAAAGTTTGGGATCAGAGCTATGTTTAATGTGTTTTACAGGAGTCTCTTCTGCTCATCAAGGCTGCATTTATTTGATCAAAAATACAGGAAAAAATGTAATATTGTGAAATATTATTATGATGTTTTTCTATTTTAATATACATTAAACTGTAATGTATTTCTGTGATGCGCAGCTGTATTTTCAGCATCATTCCTCCAGTCTTCAGTGTCACATGATCTTCAGAAATCAGTATAATATGCTGATTTATTATCAGAGTTGAAACTGTTGCTGCTTCATATTTGTTTGGAAGCTGTGATACTTTTTTTCAGGATTCTTTGAGGAATAAAAAGTTAAAAAGAAGAGCATTTATTTAAAATAGAAATATTTTCTAACAATATACACTAGTGTTCAAAAGTTTGGAGTCAGCAAATTTGTATTCTTTCTGTTTTTTTAAAGAAATTAAAACTTTTATTCAGCGAGGACGTGTTAAATTGTTAAGAAGTGATAGCAAAGATTTATATTGTTAGAAAATATTTATATTTTAAATAAATGCTGTTCCTTTTAGCTTTTTATTCATCAAAGAATCCTGAAAAAAGTATCTCAGGTTCCAAAAAAATATTGTGCAGCACAACTGTTGATAATTCTAATAATAAATCAGCATATTATACTGATTTCTGAAGATCATGTGACACTTTATACTGGAGTAATGATGATGGAAATACAGCTGCGCATCACAGAAATACATTATATTTTAAAGGACATTAAAATAGAAACCATTATTTTATATTGTAACAACATTTTGCAAGATTACAGTTTTTTCTGTATTTTTGATCAAATAAATGCAGCCTTGATGAGCAGAAGACACTTCTTTAATGATCCCAAACTTTAGAACGGCAGTGTGTATATATATATATATATATATATTTATATTAGTGCTGGGCAACGATTCATTTTTTTTTTTTTACGCGATTAATCACAATTTTTTGCAAAAGTGCAATATCATTTGGTTTGCAAACACTTTAAACAAATAAGGTGCTCATTTACAGCAGTATTGCCTTCACATAGTAGCAGATCAAATATTTCTTGTAAATCTCAACTTAAACATTAATGTGGTAATCAAATTAAATATTAAACCAAAGCTATTTGCCACTGCCAGGGCATTGTTTTGTTTAGTTTGCTATAGAAAAACAAGTTATGCTCAGAGTTTAAGTAATGCACTCACGGCTCAAAAGTTCTTGCAGTGCTGAAAATTGCGTGCTTACGAATCCTCTCATTATAACACACGAAGTGTAGACATTATGGAAGATTCATTGTGCATATATTCATTGTGTTATAAGCAACTCTACAAAAAATAATTATGTTAATATTTATAATATCTTCGTGCCTTACAGTTGCATTTAGCAGATTATAGCTGGATGATTATATAGTTACATTTTGCAAAATAGAAGAAAATCAGGCAGAGGTTTGCTGTATAGTGTATATTGCTTTGATTTCAGGAATCAGTCATTTCAATTATAATTACAGCTTAAATGTCAACTATAAAGCAACTCTTTAAGTTCAATTATTCAGCAATCTCTTTTAATATCTTCAAGTTCAGCTAAATCATATTTATTGCCACAAAATGCACTATAGAAATGATTCAGGCTTCAGTGCCTAAAATAGTCAAAAATAGTCATGCATTTGGTGATTTTACACAGAAAAAAAAGTGGTGTAGAAACAATTTTTACTCAAAACATTGCTAGTAAATTTCACAAACATTTACAAAAAACAGCAAGTAACATTAAATTAAATGTTAATTTTTGAAGTAAAAAAAAACCTGAAATAGTATTTACTTTTAAAATGCACTAATAATTGTAATAATTTTTACAGTGCAGTGAAAACATACGAAAGTCTTGACATGCATGAATTTATTCCATGCATTTTTTTTCTCTGAATGTCATCTGGTTTTGATTGTCGTTCCAGTGCTGCTCATGCTTTCAAACGTCATGCATATAATCCGATCATTATCGTTTGCACATTCAGTGTTTGAAATTTGAGCATCATGTTACGACCCGTGACTCGTGTGCAGTAGCTGAAGCGTGTTCTCGTGACGCAGCACATGTGCAACATGCATGTCACAGCTGAGGCAGATTTGCATGGCACATCAGTCTAAATATGTGCACATCTGCCGCGTGCAGCGGGGGACAAATTTCAAGTATGGGTCCCCAACACAATAACTATATGCTCTTTTACACCTAACCCTTATTTTGCTCTCTCTCTCTCTCTCTCTCATAGGTTATAGCTATAACTAGTTTATTTACCCTTTCACAACTTAAGTAAATAATTAGTCAACCTGATGCTGTTCTAAAGCCATATTAGGCTACCTTATTTTTTTCAGATCACAAAAGAAGACCTTATAAAAAACCCGCACACAAGCGAGTCATTTTGAAACATAAAGACAAATAAAATTCTGTTCTGTTAATCAGTGAAGCTGTCTGCGCTGCACAATCAATCTCTTATTTACATCATATCTACACATCGTTATAATGAGAGGATTCGCGAGCTTGCAGAACCTGACAAAAACTCAGCGTTTTGAGCGGTGAGCGAACATTTGAGGCTCTACATAAAAAAATACACACTGGAGCGTTTGCCAAATATGTTCCGCCAATAGCAGATGGGCCCCTGATTCCCCGGGGCCCTAAGCGGCCGCTTACCTCGCTCATTGGTTAAGTCCACCCCTAGCCGCGTGTAATGTGTTTAATGTGTGTTTTTTCGCAGTACCCAAAGGACGAGTGACGGGTGACTCTCTGGCTTCCCAGAGTTCCTTGCAGGTGGTGGTTTCCCGCAGGGGGCGTGGCCGGCTGGAGAGCCCGCCCTGTAACCGCTACGCCGGCGATTGGAGCGTTTGTGGGCGGGACTTCCTGTCGAACGACGAGGCGGATTACGACGAGGTGGCAGGCAGCGAGAGCGATGACGAGGACATGGAGGAGCCGAAGAAGAGGGACGTGTGGACGTCTCCCGACGGTGTGTACGTGGACGAGTTTGCGCTCGACTTTGACGCTCCGTTCACGTGCCGACTGAGTCTGAAAGACTTTGACACTCTGATTTCAGATTTGGAGAGAGAGTTAGCCAAACAAATCAACATCTGCCTCTGAAGCGGACTGAAGCAGAATCTGTGCGTGTTTGCGCTCAGCAGATGCATTTTAATACACTATTAAAAAATGGAGTAACTTCTCGAGAAACATGCGTTCTGTTGCATGTGTAGCATTGACACAAAAGACAACCACAAGTTGCCACAGAAATGCCAACATGCAAATAAATACTGTATTTTCTGGTAAATAAATTGCATCGTTAAGAGAAGAAAAAAAATCATGCAAGTTGCATCTGTGTATAAGTCACATTTTAGAATAATGTAAAATTCAGAAATATTGTTTCATAACAGTAAATAAAACTAAATGTTTACAAACATTATAAAGATATATTGCAGAATAAAAAATAATAAGAAAATTTAATTTTTTCTCACAATTCTGACTTTTTTTCTCAAAATATACAAACTCAGAGATATAAACTCAGGAAATATGAGATATAAACTTGTAATTCTGAGAAAAAGAGTCTAGAATTGTGAGATCAAATGCTGCAAATGCCTTTTTTATTTTGCCGCGGAAATCAAATTGAGGAAAAATAGAATTGCGAGATAAAAATTCAGAGAGAAAAAAGTCAGAATTGTTGGAATTAAGGAACGATAGTAAACAAAAAGTAGAACTGCGAGATATAAATTCAGAATTCAGAGAAAACAGAAAAATTCAAGACATAAACTCAGAATTCATTTTTTTTCCCCCTTAAAATTGAAAGTTTATATCTCACAATTCTGAGTTTATATCTGGTAATGTTGAGAATGTTCACAGAATTTGCGAGCTTTTCCCCCAAAGAATTGTAATTTGGGTATTTGTGCCCAATCACAGCGTTTCTGGTGCGTTTTGAGAAAACCTTTGATAGCAGCTACTGTAACATAATACCAACAAGCACAAAAACTCAGATTTTTCTTCACTGTTCTTCTGAAGGAGAGACGCGTATCGATTATTATAATATGCTATATCATGCATTATAAAGCGGAGCGTTCCGGTGCTTGGCTCTGATTGGCTGAGCCGCGTTCGAAGCTGTTGTAAATGATGCTACAAAGTAACACACACCTTTGTTTACGTCTGTGTGTTGCTCGGCAACCACTTTGTAGCAACCACAACTGTTTCTGAGGAGCTACATTGTTTGGTGGAAGAATACTGTGTTTATTAATATCTTTACACTTTATTTGCTCTGTTTTATTTTGTGAAACCTTACTACGTATATAACCGTTTTATAAAAGCAGTAACCCCCGTGAAGCCGTGGTTTACAGTGAATTTCTAACAGCTTCACATCGTACCTAACAACGCCCCGTAGCTGTTATAAATTCACTGTAAACCACGGCTTCTTGGGGCTTATTGCTTTATTATAACACAGTATAAACACTAGCTGTTAATGAGGTGGCTGGTGCTGAAGGATGACGTCTGCGTTACGTTTGTGTGAAGTTTCTCTTATTTAAAGCTCTGTGTACGACTCTTATTCCAGAAGGCTGGTTTCGTTTGGGCCAAGATTTCATCACTCTTTCCAGCAGCAGCACATTCCGTTACGTGCGGTTCTCCGCCAGACTCGCTTTGGCAGTGGCTGCATGAAGCCTTAGTTTTACTTTGCAGAATTATTTTTTCCTGCGTAATGTTTAGCGGTGAACGTATTTATTACATTCCCTTGAGGTCATGTCATAGGACCGTTCTGGGTTTCAGCCTGACAGCATTTGTGACATAATGTTGATTTGAGTGTGAGAAGCCAAAGACAATATCTGACATAATGGGGCTTGGGTAACTGATGTTATTTAAAGGTTAAGCGTGTCATTTCTAACTCGCATGGAAAAGCAATGAGAGCTTTTCCTAAACACTCGTCCTGTTTGTCATTGGTCAGTCAGACAGATAGCTCCGCCCTAAACTCACGTGATTGGATGAGTCAGAAGTCACTCAAACAGACAGACCAATGTTGTCACAATGTGACATTAAACGGCATTTGAAGTCATTCAAAAGTAACCAAAAAATGATCATTTTTAACTCGTATTGAATCCAGAACATTCGTTTAAAGCTGAATTTATGTTTGAGATGCGAGTAGACAATCAGTAAAATGAGAGACCTTTAATATAGTGTTAATTTTGACTGCATTTGCACAGTTCATTATGCCAAAATGTTTAGATTTACGTTTGTTTTTTCATATTCAGACACAAACGACACAATGCATCAGGACATGCACACGCACTCATTTTTAACCTTGTGTCTTTTATAACCTGTATTATTAAGCCAAAGACTGTTGTGATGATTATTGCACTTCTGTGTCTAGTTTTCTGGATTGTGCTTGTGCTGCTTTAGCTGATTTGAGATCAGTCTGTTACTGAGAGCAGCTCTATGTTTCATATCTGAGCACGGTACAAATAATCTCAACTGTGATTTGATTCTAAAAGCCACAAATGGAATATAAAGGCCATGACTGAGCTCACCAGCTCCTTATGCAAACCCTTTGACATGTTTTATTTGACTTCAGATTTGTTTAGTTGTATAAACAGTATTATTATATTCTATTATTGCACCTGTAACATTAAGCACTTCTGTCTGTGCTCATGCATAGCTATAAACCGCAGCGATACACACATGTGTGTGGATGAGATGTACCATTCAGTGTTATGTTAAAGAAATAAAGCACAGTATTGCGTTTCTACGATGTGTGTTTTCTGTGTATTCACAATCCTACGTGGCATTTAAAGGGAAAGTTAAAGCAATAGTTCACCCAAAACTGAAAATGTGCTCGCCCTCAGTCCATCCAGGATCAGGATGAGTTTGTTTCTTCATCAGATTTGGAGAAATGTGTCTTAGTAATGGATGCTCTGCAGTGAATGGGTGCCGTCAGAATGAGAATCCAAACAGCTGATAAAAACATCACAATAATCCACAGCACTCCAGTCCATCAGTGAACATCTGGAGAAGACAAAAGCTGAAACTAATCCAGCATTAAGATGTTTTTTAACTAAAATACGAGTCCATAATCCATAATAACTCTTCCTCCAGTGAAAAAGTGCATCTGCTGTTGTCTCTCACATCAAAATCCAGCCACATATGTGTTTAGAGCTGTTTAAACGCTGCTTGATCTGTGCAGATTTCTCTCTTGATTCACACCAGAACACTGACTCACTGGAGGAAGAGTTATTATGGATTATGGACTCGATGTATTTGAGTTCAAAACATCTTAATGTTGGATGTGTTTCAGCTTTTGTCTTCTCCAGATGTTAACTGATGGACTGGAGTGCTGTGGATTATGGTGATGTTTTTATCAGCTGTTTGGACTCTCATTCTGACGGCACCCATTCACTGCTGAGACACTGATGCAATGCTACATTTCTTCAAACCTGATGAAGAAACAAACTCATCCTGATCTTGGATGGCCTGAGAGTGAGCACATTTTCAGTTTTGGGTGAACTATTGCTTTAGAAACTTCATGTCGTTCCAAGCCTGCGTGCTGTTCTGTCCGCCAATGATTTAACAGTTTTGGTAGCTGTGAGTCAGACTCTGAAAGCTCTAACTGTCTTTAATTTGTGGCGCTGATGCTGGTCAGTGAGCGTGACTGTTCACGTGTGCGTGTGTGTGCTGAGGAGTTGATTCTGAATGAGTCTGACAAACACATTTATGCACACGTGAATCAGCACGTTTAGTTGTGCTTGGTATGCACTGCACAGTGCAAGCAAACCACAGACAGTTACGTATTTCTAAATGTGTAATGTTTGTATTAGAAATACAAAAACTTAAATAGTATTCAGTGCATAATCAGTAATGAAGTTTATGGTTTAGATTTATTATTAGAATTCATTCTGAAAAATTGTAAGCATAGTGGACAATTGCAAAATCAGTGATAGGCACTCGTGATACATGCGCATTGATCAGTAATCATTCATATGTGTGTTTTCATCCCAGAGACAGATACTTGCTCTGTGTGTGAGTGTGTGAGTGAGTGAGTGAGTGAGTGAGTGAGTGAGTGAGTGAGTGAGTGAGTGAGTGAGTGAGTGAGTGAGTGAGTGAGTGAGTGAGTGAGTGAGTGAGTGAGTGAGTGAGTGAGTGAGTGAGTGAGTGAGTGAGTGAGTGAGTGAGTGAGTGAGTGTGTATGTGTGAGTGTGTGTTAGTGTGTGTGTGTGTGTGTGTGTGTGTGTGTGTGTGTGTGTGTGTGTGTGTGTGTGTGTGTGTG